TTATGGTTTTAGTCTCTGCTGCTTTCCGTGATGCATCCTGATTGTCAGAATTGGGGAAAAAAGAGGATCTAAGAAAAGAAGAGTGGGTTAATGTCATTCTCCATAATATAGACAACCTTTTTCTTTATGTGATTACATTTTGAGCAAACTGGCTTATCTTTTTGGTGTTTTTGTTTTGGCACAATTTCCAAAGTAGCATTGCCAGTGATGGTCGATACTATCTTGAGAAAGATTCTGGAGCATATAACCGACCAGTGCCTAATATGTTATGACGTCGGAATCCCCTGCACTGCTCGGCAAGACTGTGATGATCCCTCCTCTCTCATTTTCCCTTTCCAGGTAGGCATGTCTTAGTCTTAAGTTCCTCAGTTATTAAACCTTCTTTCTGAGGTTCAGATGTTCTGTATCTTATGTACTACCTGCCTATGTAGGAAGTTTTTAAGTACATTAGTTACCATGACTTCTTACCCAGTCTGCCATAAATGTTGCTAAAGTAGTGTTGACCTCAAGTTTAAAATTATACTCGTGAACATGATGAAATTGTTACTTTAACCTTACTTGCATAAGAAAAGGTCAAACCTGCAAACGATATTAGAAAGTAATGCATGCCATTGTCCGAATGGGGCATAAAATACTGCTGATTGACATATTAATCTTTTGACCAGGAAGGAGAGATTGAAAGATGCAAATCTTGTGACTCAGTATTCCATAAGCATTGTTTTAAGAGGATATCATCTTGCCCATGTGGCACTCGGTTGAAGACGAAGCAGGAAGGCAATTCAACTAAGGGCAGCCAGAACATGGGCAACTGGGGAATTCTCTCCTTGGACTTGCTCGGAAAGAGGGCAGACCTCAGTAAGGGGCTCGTTACGGGATTGTTAGGGAAGGTAAGGTCACTCAAGTCTAGCAGGAATGAAGAAGAGCATGAAGACAATAATACCGTTATCTTAATGGATTCATTGCCAATGACCACCCTCTGAAGGGCTGTACATACAGTCTTCTCTTTTAGCGTTTGAAACTACTGTGATTAGAAGCTTGTGCTTTAGCAAGCTTTATTTGAGGTCATATTTGGTCTTGTCCTCCCACCAACTTGTATTCTTTGTGAGTGCACAATGGTGATTCTTTCAATATCTCACAGTTATCGTCCATTATATCCAGTCAGTCAGTTGTAAATGAAATATACATGATATTTGCTTGTAAGTTCAGAAGATCCATTTGTATTCGTTTGAAGCCTGACGGTCACTATTTGATATGGTTCCTTGGATTTATTATTTGTTCCTATCTGGGTTTAGGTTATCCCTCTACTCAATTTTAGTTAAGACTCCGTCACTGAATCCATTTGATTCTGAAAAGGGGATGGCAGTTCTCGCGTTGCTACAGTTAAGAAGTTTCTTTGGATACGAGATGCACTTTGATTTCGTTCTTTGCAATTGGAGAAAGGATGGAAATCTTAAAACTGCATGTTCCATTGAAGTCCAATGGAACATAAGCAGATGCAGATGCAACCACTACCTTATGCAGAACTTCATATATACCAAACGTACGACAATTCTTTTGAGAGTTTGATGCAGCCAACGAAAATAAAGCAGCAGTAACTTAACTTGCAGCGCTTGAATGTCCATAATGAAACTGCAATCATACTAAAATAGGAAATTAAAACAAGAGCAATTAAAATGTAGACCTGACATATGAGAGCTGATGCAACCAAGGGTAATAAAGCAGCAAAACTAACTTCCAACTGCTTGAACATCAATAAGGGAACAAGAATCATACTAAATAGAAACTTGAAAAGTACAACTTTGATCTCCTGATCAAAATGTAATTAACACAGCATAGGAAAACAAAAGCTCTTGAATCTAGGAAAACAAAAGCTCTTGAACTACACCAACAAAAAAAGATATCTAAAAACGTATAACAGAAAACTATCAAATTTTGCATCACAGGCAATTTAGAAAAGAGAGGTTCCCTTTCCTTTCTTGTCCCCACCAATCTCAAAATGCTTGCACCTCTGCACAACCAAGGACAAGAGTTTAACTTGTAAAAT